CACCCCTGCCCACCTCATGGGACTGAAACTCTGGGCATCCAGAGGGCATCCAGAGGGCATCCCAGGCAGAGCCAGACCCCAGTGCCCATCTAAGAGCCAAATGAGCTGCTGGGGGGGGTTAACTCCTCCTCCTCTCTCAGCTTTGCAGCCTCTGGCTTCCTGCGCAGTGGCAATTCAGGGATGGCCAACATGGTCCCCCCAGCCACAGCGAGGACCCGATCCAGGCAGGGGCTGCATCCCAGCAGGATGAGACCCAGGGCAGCAATGCAGCAGCATCGCAGAGCCCTGGTGCCACCAGGATGCCCACGGCCCCGTGCCAGGGCTGCCCCTGCTGCAGCCTCGCCCTGGGGTGCACCAGCTGCTCCCCCAGGACCATACAGCCGTCAGTAGATGACGGGGTGTTGCAACACGCCGGGGAATAATCACGATAACTCGCGCGGTTGCCCTGGTGCCGGGCTTGGCTGTTGCAGTGGTTGCTAAAGAGAGTGGGCGTGCGGCTTCCTCTGGGGCGATCCGATTCCTCCAGGAGCATGGCTAAGGCACGCTTAGGAGAAACCGTCCTCTGCAGAGCAGGGACGCGACCTCTCCGCTGGCAGCAGCTGCCATGCTGAGCGGGCTGCTCGGGCACGCACGGAGCTGTTTGCTTTGGGGGGAAAAAAGCCATTTGCTTGCTCCTCCATCCTGGGAAAACACTGTCTGGCAACAGAGAGCAAAGGCAGCAAGTTTTCAGGGCGGCAGAGAGACCTTTGGGACCAGCGCTGAGGAGCGGGCAAGGCCAGCGGCTGCTGCCAGCCAAGCCCCAGCCCTCCGTGGGGTCCCCGTGGGGTGACGAGGTCGGCGGGGAGGGAACACCGGTGCAACGGCTGCCTCCACGTGACCCTTCGTCCCCACTCCCACCGAAGAGACCTGGCAGGAGCCAGGCAGCTTCCTCGGATCCGGCCAAAAAGCCAGGCAGAAGCAGCAGCCTCAACCCCGCAGCCCCATGTCGTGGGGCGTGGGGCAGCACCTGCCCTCTGGGCTCCCCAGGGCCACGCTGCGGAAATCAGGTAAGCCCAGGGCCCTCGGGGGGGTCCCCAGGTCTCTGCCGGCTCCCCCCGGCAGGGATGGGGTGCTGAGGGATCGCACTGCACTGCAGCTGTCTTTACACACGGGTGACTTCGGACCCTGTTGTAAATGTTATTTGAGATCTCATGTTACTTGATTTCTTTGGTAGCTGGTCGCGATGCTGCCCTTCCACTTCTGCCTTTCAAACCAGATCCCTATGCCGCCAGAAATTCCCTAAGCAAACCCACGCTGCGATTCAACCCTCCTCGGAGAGGCATTGGGCTGGACAGGGGGCACTCGTTAACACCGTCCCTGCAAATCAGTGTGGGAGGATTTTCTCTGTATCCCACAAAATACCTCTGGGCTACCCAAAACATTCATTAGCGAGCGATGCGCGTCTCGTAAATGCACGGAGCAAATATTTGACGGGCTATTCAAAGTAAGTTGGCGATGAAGGAGAGCGATGGTTACGCATCTGCCGCTGGTTAACGAAGCCAAACAAGCCACTCCCAGGGGCCGTCATCCCGCGGTGGCTGCAGTGGCATCCCGACCTTGTTATCTTTGCTTATCACAGGCCAAGTTAATTAAATGGAGTTATTAACCAGCACATCAGCCCCAGGCAGGGGGGAGCTGGCTGCTGCCTGACTGTACCAGCATTTCCAGCCTCCAACACAGAACAGGGCCCCTGAAACTTCACTCCCCAGCAGCTCAGGTAGCCCCCAACCCGCCCAGGGCTCCCTCTTCCAAATACGCGAGTGCAAAGCTCAGTGGGGGCTGTGGTGGCAGCTGGGGGCCTTTTGGGGGGATCTGGGGGGATAGCAGCATGAGCAGCCCATGCCCACTATGTGCCCCCCCAGGTAGATGCAGTGCTGGTGTAAATGGGGTATCACTGCCCCACGGGCTGCAGGGCTGGTGCAGTGCTTGGCACAGGTGGGCAGGACTGGGGGATACTGGTTGGACTGGGGAGGCTGGCTGTGCTGGGGGGACAACACCGGCTGTGCTGGGGGGAGAGCACCGGCTGTGCTGGGGGCAGCCCCATCCTTGCACGTGCCCAAGAGGCAGGACGGGTGATGCGTGGCAATGGTGCCAGGAGCTGCAGGGCCACGTCCCCCTGTCCCAGTTCACATTTCCATTAGGGTTTTCTTTCCCTTTCCAACCCCACGACCTCGTGGGGCTCATTCCTGAGGGTCAGGGCTGAGCAAGGGCGAGGGGACCTGGGCCGTGTGTGCCTGCTGCCCAGGGGCAGGCATCTGATAGCTGGAGCCGCTTCCCATGGCGAGCACATCGAGTTACATGCACCCTATTGCATTATAAATACCAGAATTAGCCTTGCTTAATTATTTAAAACTATAGATTAAAAGCAGTCAAAGGCTCTTTGCCTCCTTTCCAGAGCGCATGTATCATGCGTTGGTGATACGGTCGCCTGGTGACAAGCAAGGGCAAGCGTGCCAGGTCCATCGGTATGAGATGCTCCCGAGCTGCCGACACGGCAGGAACCAGAGGAGAGGAAAATCACGGTGAGGATGGGGAGCTGGTACAATCTCTCCCAGGGAGGGCAACGATTAGCATCTGCCAACCTTTAGGCTTACATCATTATTATTACTATCATCATCATCACCACCTTCCTCATCATGAACATCATCACCATCCGTCACGGGGCAGTAAGCCACAGCAGTCATTAAGCTCACGTGAAGGAATAACAGGTATTTCTTTGGGGCGTTAAGGTGTATTTTGTGGGCTCAGCTGTGAGGCCAAAGGGCTTCCAGGCACCGCGAGCCTCGCCGTGGGGTAGCACCCCCATCTGACCCTCCGCTAAAGCTGCCCTCAACCTGCCGACCACGCAGAAAGCAGCTTCCGAGAGCAAGCGCCCGGCTTTGAGGTCAGAGCACTTGCCCCCCAGCAGCAGACCCTCCGCAGCACGGCTGCACCCCCAAAAGCTGCTCTCACCGCACAAAGCTCCGGGGCTCACAGAGACCGACACGCAAGTGTTTCCCTGCCCCGTGGTGCCAACCCCAGCTACTCTCTGTTTCTAAAATGCAGTTAATTAACGTTAGGAGAATCATGCAAATTAGCAGATGCCAATAATTCATGAATCCAAAACAAAAGACAAACTTTCAGCCTCATTCTTTGTAGGACTTACCCCACAGCATGACCACTTCCGCCACCACACGCTCATGGGAAAACCCGTCGGGCCGAACTCTAGCTCCACTCGGGCAGTGGGAATGCTCCGGCTGAAAGGTCACGCTCTAAAATAAAACACGTTAACTTCTGGTTAACAAGGAGAAGCGTGCGCAAACCTGTGCCAGGAGCTGTTAGTTCAGAGATCCCAGGCACTGCGTGAGTTAATTCCGAGGTGCGGACCCTTGCATCTAAGCCTTTCCGAGGGATGGTACCCTCATCCCGGGAAAGGAGGGCTCCCCGGGGAGCAAGTGCCATCAGGGGCTCAGGAAAAGGAATGTTGCCCACAACTGCAGTTAAATGTGTCCGAAACTCACATTTTTTCCCAGGCTGAGGTTACTTGTGTAAGCAGCTTCAACCCAGCTCTGCTGACCCAGACCGAGAAGGCTGGCTTTGCGGTCTCCTCGCTCGCAGGATGTGTGTGACCGGCTCCTTTCAGCAGCCGCATTCGTCTGTTGGTTCCCTAGAAAAGACACATTCTTGAATAAACCCCAGGCATCCAGAAAACCAGAGGCTTTCCTCCGTAGCCACAGTTTCAAGTGATCATTTCTGCCCAGGAAACAGTCCCTTGGGTCCATGGTTTTACAAATCCAGATCCAGGGCTCTGACCCTGAGGTTTTTGCCCACTCTCTTCCCTTCTGTCAAGCAACAAGGTTTCACAGAATTACAGACAGTAATATCCTCGGAGCCTGGAAGCCCCCACCCAGCGTAACGCCTTCTGCCTGGTTTTATGTGGATGGCATTTCACAGGGGCCCGTTCTCTGCTCAGAAGGCAGCTCCCATACAATGCTCTTAACAAGAGTTTGGTCTTCCGCCCTTACTGACAAACCTCTCCCGGGATGCTCTAGCTGGAAAAACAGGTCTCCAGTGACACAGACTGTGAATTCAGTTCACTTTATAGGTGCCAGCTAAAGCTACACACTGACCTGTGCTGCAGCAGAGCATCGACAGCCTTGAGAGTTAAGGATGCTGAGGACCATCGCTGCAGGGGGCAGGAACGCTGAAGGAAGAGAAACTGGGTTTGTGGGTGGCATGGAAAAGGGCCGAGGGATGCGCAGGGGAAGGGCAGGACATGGAGGGGAGCTTGGAAAAACAAAAGTCAAGGGGGAGGAGGCATTTCACCTGCAAAAAGCAGCTGAAGGCTGGTGTCCTGCTGCATCCTCCGCTCTCCTATACGGTCCCAAGCTGAGGGGTGTTGGGTAGGAGCCCAGCCCTCCCCCTGCAGCTTTCTAAACCCAACAGCTATGGGTTAATTTTCTTTTCAATATCTCTTTTGGTTTTCCCCTTGTGAAGAAGGGCTGGAGCCATGCAGCAGCCTAAGCAGAGCTGCACCCCTGGGGTTACCTGCCCTTTCCAGGGCCCTTAATCTCCTTAACATTCCTGGGGATTATTTCCATCCCAACAGGATGGCAAAGCCACGGGAGCAGCACATAGCACACGGTCCTGCTGCAGAGGGGCTCACAGAGCAACCTGCCACAGAGAGACAAGTCGCTTAATCCTAAGTAAGTGCTCAGGGAAGGGCATCCCCTCGGAGTGAGGGAAAAGCAGCAGAGCAGCAAAGGGAAGCATAGCTCAGCTCCGGCCACGGAAGAGCCCCTGTGTCCGATGCCTCTCCCTGGGCATGAGCCAGTCCTGCTCCTGCTCCTCTTCCTGTCCAGGAGCAGGCTAAAACCTTCCTCCTTGCCCTGAGCTGCACAAAAGCCACTCAGCACCTCAAGCACCTCACCAAGTTTACGCTCCCAGTAGGGTGTATTTCATGTACTATTTGCACCATTCAGATTTTCAAAGGAATTTCAAGTTGCACCAAAACTGTCCTGTTCCCCAACAGACTGGGGCTGAGCGTAATCAGAAGTGGAAACAATTTGCCCCAGGATTCCAGACTGGTGATTTCATCGCAACTCACCCACAAACTGGGGGATTTATAAGCATTTCCAGGCAGTCTGAGCAGGAATTTGGGCTTTGGTTTAAGTCAGACCAGACCAAGGTATTAAAACATCATTTTTCTCCCCCAGCCAGTCCCATGCCCTGGGTTGGTCTCTGGACCATCTCAAAGATGCTGAATATTCCCTGTGGGGTCTCCTAGAAAACTGCTCAAGACCGGGAGCTGGTTTCACAGCTACGGTTGGGAGAGGAGAGAGCACCACGCATGAAGGCCAAGTACCTGCCAGTGGCCCTGGCAAAGAGCAAGGCAGGCTCGCTTTTTACTTACAGAAAAGCCGCTTGGAATCGGACCTTTCCTAGAAAGCCTCAGGCTTCTAGAGATCAGGAAAGGGAAAATATTTAAAAGCAGGCAAAGGTGCGAGTGTGTCGGCACAAACACGGCTACTCTTGATAAGCAACACTCCAAAGCAGATCTATTTAAAAGGTCACGCTGTCTTCCTGAGCACAGCAGAGGGTATTAAAATGCACGTGTATTTTTCTTTTTTTTGCTGTTTATATCTTGCCAAGAACAATATAAAAATGTCTAACACCTTTTGCTGATTTACGACGGTGGCCAAGGAGGTGCCAGAGCAGAGCCTGGTTCATTGATCTACGGCTGAATCGTGCGAAAACAGACACCCCGCTGTAAATCCACCGCAGAGACCGGGCTAGATTTATACCTCCAGCACCATAAATAATGACAAAAAGCAGCCTGATAGCAGTCTGTCTCCCCTTACACGGACATGAATTACAGCAGGTCTCGAAGATGATAGATCTACTCCACGAGAAACATTTTGCACTGGGTCCCTATGCCAGCTTCCGGGAGGAAGGATGCCCCGTCCTCACTCCCAGCATAACCCCAGGCTGTGTTTCAGGCCCACCAATGTATTTATATTCTCGTTTTTCTGGTTCTGCTCAGTGCAAATGAAAACACACCTTGAATTGCTCCAGACTAAGGTTTAAAGTGCTATTCTTGTAGTGAGGTTCAAGGATCCTTCCAGTGTGGGTCAGGGACAAGCTCAGGGCTTTGGCGTTGTCCCCGGGGCAGGACTATGGTCACCCACTGGAAGGCAAAGCCTCGAGGTCAGAGTCAGCACAGCCCTGAGCACACCTAGCCCAGCGACAAGCAAGCTCAGAGCTGCCTGCTGTGCCTGACCCCCCTTCAGGCAAATTGCTCTCACTGGGAGGAGTTTTGCATCGTGCTTTAACAGCCACCTGCGCAGAAATGCTTCCAGTTTCAGTTCCTCCTTCCCAGTATTTTCTTCATTTCTACAAGATTCAGGGAAAAGATCCCCACTTGCCTTCAGTAAATAGGCTGATGAATGGCTGTCTCTTCGCAAGCCTCGGCCACGCAAGGTTAGGTTGCTGCAGCATGGAAATAACCACATTAGCCGATTCGAAGGCTCCAAGCTCACCGCGGTGCTCCCCAAAATGCTGCACAAGCAGAGGGTCCCCCAAACAGGGCTGGGGGGGCCTTTCCTGATCATCCTGGCTGTCTGGAGGGTGGAAACACCACACAACCAAACTGAAGGTCTGGACGACACTGTGCAATACTGCTGTAAGCAGCTGGGTGTTAGCTCTGTGTGGATATGGGGACACCAGATCTCCTGGGATCTGGGTCTTGGAGGTAGGGAAGAAGGGACTCCCACTCCCGAGTTGCAAAAGCAAACCCATACACCACGGAGGCAAGGAGAAGACAGTATTTTATAAGTAACAGACCTGCTCCAGTGCCCCAAGAGCTACTACAGTTTAGCAGTCGGGCATGAGAGTGACTTGGTATAGAAAAAAACCCAAAATCACTAGAGTTACAGTCATTTATAGTATCCAGGTTGGTCCTTCAGGCTTGGTTGCATAAGCTTTCCATGCTCAGTGCATTATCCCCTCGCAGAGCACAACAGGCAGATTCGAGATGGACAAATCCGAGATGGATATGCCCAAGCCCTTCTCCTGCTGCGCAGCAGGATTTGGTACCCAGCACACAAGCAAGACCCGGCACCTCTGTCACCAGAGTCAGCTCTGGTCTAAATGACAGCACAGGAGCTGTGGGAAAAGGGGAAGAGAATGACAGTGACACTGAGGGTAGTCTGTTAGGATAGCTGTCCAAAACCAGGGCTTCCATTAAAAACACCTGGCATTTACTCCATGGAGAGACTTTTTCTTTGAAGAAGGAAGACATTGCTTTGCCATTTGAAATGGGAGCTCATCCATTTCATTCCTGCCAAAACAAACCTTTGCTTTTGTTCCTTCCTCCCTTGTCTTTTGTCTGTCTGTTCTCCTGTGAAAAAGAGAAAAAAAAAAGGGAAGTAGAAGAAAAAAACCCAAAGCAATTTTACCCCATTGAAAACCTGAGGTGTTTTCTCTGTGTTCAAAACCCAGCTTTCATCTAACAGACGTTAGCCACGACATTGTGCGGCCTTAACCCTTGGCTGTTCTTCCGTCCCTGCGTCCCACTGGAAGGGCAACGTGAGCCCCCCAGTTTCAGGCTGCGGAGTCTGACCCCGCAGGGCTGTCAGTCAGCCATCGGACTTGCCAGCAAGCCACGCACCTTCCCTTCTGCCAGCAGTGATGTATGATCCTAGAGGAAAACAATTTGATACAAGAAATCACCGGTTCCAGCTTCCAAGCGCCTTTTAAATACTTACCGAACTCTTCACCCCAATTACACTCCTGTAATGGGCTCTGATTTGTTTCCCTGTGTTCCCAAAGCAGTAGGGCACCGGCCACATTAACATTCAATGAGGAGTTGTTTGATATTGAATCAGTTCTCCAGCACTATTATGCCTTACACAATTCTGTTTGATTGCAATCCACTTTACATTTGATAAGTACTTACTGACTGCGAAAGAATGACCTAGCTTGCTTTCTCCTGCCTTTTTGTTATTGATTTCTCTTTTAAAAGGGTTTTATTCCTTTTATACATGAGATTGCAATGGGACAGAGCCAACATTACTGAACAACTGTTTTCCTTGCTGCTCCACCAACCCATACAACTTCACACCAAGCCCCCAGTTATACTGTAATAAGGAGACACTTAGAGACATGGAGCTGCCTACACCCCTTCCTGGGACTTTTTGTTCTTGCCGGTAAAATTCCAGATTGTTCAAGTGAATAGTCAGGAATAAACTGCTCCTTCCGAGCCCCTGATTAGACCGTACGCTGAATAATCGTAGGCAGCCCCACTGTGCTCCGCATTTAAAGACACAGCCCACCGCGTGCAGTTTGTCTCACAATTTGTGCTTTGCAGAGGGATTTTTGTGAAGGAGAAGTGTAGAGCGCTTGGAAAATAGCAACGATGAACGCGCCCTGTGGTTTGCCTGAAATCCAAGTTGCCATCACCTCCAAAACAGCGGGCTCTTGTTCTTACACCCAGAACACAGGAATCATGACAGCACGATCGCGTTATGATTTTTTTGGCATCGGGCTCGATCCTGATTAGGCTGCCAGCAGAATAACAGCAAACTCTTTCCTCGACACGAGGTTTCGGATGCAGCAGTACTTCCTCAGGGCTGTGTTTCGGAAGCCCCTCAAATCCCTCCCCTTGTGCTAAGGGACCGGCGGCTGCAGCCGGGATGCCCAAAGCAGCAGCTGAGCACAGTCCCCGTCCGTGGCTCCTTCCGCTGTGAGTTAGAGCTACCCGGGGTTAATTAATCCTTGGCACTAAATGCTGCGGGCACTGACGCAAGCGGCTGGCAAGCTATTCAGGTATCTAATTAATATGTGTCTCATCAACAAGGCGACAGGAATATTTTTTTTAAATGACTAAAAAACCCGCACCCACACGCGTGGGCACGTGCCCGCAGGCACGGCCGCGGGTGTCGAGCAGCCGGGGCCGGCACCATCTCTTCTCCGCTGTCTCGCCCGGGGAAAGGGAGCTCTGGCGAGTTCCCACACCACAGCGGGCTGAGACATCTCATGCAAACACCTCTTTTCAATTCCAGCGTCGATGTACACCGAAATACAGCGGGAGCGACCGGACGGCGGGAATATCCTGACGCACCCAGACTACATAGATGGAAACCCAGACCTCATCAAGCCTAAAAAGCTCCTAAATCCTGTAAAAGCCTCGAAGAGCCACCAAGAGCTGCACAGAGAGCTGCTGATGAACCACAAAAGGTAAGAGGAGGTCGCAGCTGGAGTGGTCCGGGAGGTGCTGAGCCGTCGGAGCTCGGCAGCCGAGGGACAAGCGACAGCCCGCGGGTTGGAAGCGCATGATAAATCCCTTCACTTCCAAACAAACACAGCACAAAACTCGCTGCAGCCCTTTCCTCTGACGTGACAGTCCCTTTCAAAAGAAAAGCAGAACGAAAAGGCCCCTGCTCTTCCTTCCCGAAGCATCGGCTGGCACTTCTCGGAGCTGTTTGCCGTTTCCACCCACCTCGAGCCACAAGCACCAGGAGATGCAGGGCACCCCTGCAGCCCCTTGCTCGGCGTCCCACGCATGCTTGCTCCCTGGCCCTGGTTTTTCTGTCTCCATCACTCACTTGCCACGTCCCCAGCAGTGTATAGCATTCCCCTGTGCTTTAAGGTCAGCCCAGGATGGAGCCAGTGAAAGCTGGGAGAGCACCAGGGATCAGCAGGTACGAGGAAAAGGCTAATCACTGTCTCCGTGAAAATCAAAGGGGCACAGATAGACTAGAATTCACATTCCTGACCTCCTACCCCCATCACCCCAGTATAACTCCTTGGGGGTACAGATCCAGCACCAGGAAAACGACACCAGTGACCGAGAACCTATAACCACATCATTCCTTCGCAGCAACCGCCTGGACGTCAGCGCGAGAGAAGCGCATTCGGTTCAGAGGCTCTTAAGCACAGCAAAAAACCTGCTGGCTTTATACTGACATTTGCTGAACACCCTAAAAATATTCTGACACGACAGCACTTTGGCCATCTAATTAAAAGGAGCGCAGCCTCTGTTCCGAAGGACTACAGTCATCACGAGCGCCAGGCACACGGATTCATTCAGCAAACACCCAAGCCTGCCAGCGGGGCGCATTAATCAATACTGGCACTGGCTGGGCTTGGGTTTGATTGGATTTTCCCAGAATCAGAATTACAGGGACTGTACCCAGGCCGTTCTCTGGCATGAAGGCAGAGGTAACGACACCAACCAGGTATTTTTTAAAACCCTCTGGCTTGAGAGTGACCATACCCTGCCCAGTGACGCTGCCCCGTTTAAAGGCTCACCCACCAGCGTTGGCTTTGATCTTGCAGGACATTATTCCAGTCTAACCACAATGGAACAAAGAAATCCCTGCAACAGAGGTAGCAGGGATGAACAGCGTCAGTCAGGATACAGACCCCACGGCGTCAGACTGAGCTGAACTTCAAACTGGCAGTCACAAAGTACGTCCTCACTTTGTATTTGTGCCTGCCACCCTGTCACATCCACACCAGCCATCAGACACTGGCAGGAGGCAGCTCCACTGCAGCCATCCTGCACCTTACACTCCTGTACATCCCAGGCATCAATTTAAACCTGCTTTGCCTCTGGCCTCCCACCTATTTTTTAGCAAATACATGAAACAAACCCTAGTGCAAACAATAATCCATCACTGCTGGTTTCTTGTCTTTCTCAAATCCACCAGTTTTGCTTCCTGCTACGTGTTGCTAAGTGGGAGAGAGGAGAGAAGGGGGGAGAGAAGGATTTTGCTCCTGGTCCTGTTTTGCTGTTGGTTTTTCCCCTTAAGCAGCAGGGAGAAGCAACTCAAACCAGCAGCTTGTGCAACAAAACCCTAATGTTAGCCAACACCCCCAGGTACTAACAACACAGGCTGATGAAATCAAAGGGTAGTAACAAATCCACAGGCGGCACTGCAAGCTGTGTCCCCAGCAAGCCAAGGCAGGTCTGCCTTCTCTCAAGCCTTGGGAAAAGCATTTCTTCAGCATCCAACTTCTTCCTGCCTTGAAAAACCACCATGAAAGCTCTGGGGCCAGCGCTACGGCTACCTTCACTTCAGCAGCTTCACCTGAGACCCTTTGAGCGGCTCTTCCAGCAGAAAAGGAGGGTTCGTTTTGGCCTCTTGACCCAAAGGCTCCTTGTCAACTGGGGATGGCTCGCCCTCGGAAGCCAAGCTGGGTGCTGGGGGGACAGGAGGACCAGGACAAGCTCTGCAGATCAATGACTACCCCTGCTGGCAGGAAAAAAATCGCCGGTCTTAAAACAACCTCAAACCAACTCAATTTGCACTGACGTAATTAAAACCAGTATCGGCAGGAGTTAACGGAACGTCCCATTTCCATACCCGACCCAAAGGAATGGCATAAGCAGAACTTCCAGCATCACAAGCCCCACGTGCGGCCAGCAAACGCTGTGCCCACGCCGGCAGCATCCCAGCAGGATGGGGCTCCCAGTTACACCCCCAAAGCCTTGGGGATGGGTCTGTGGAGCCGGACTGGATTGTGGAGCAAGTCTCCCAAGTCTCCAATTTAGGGCCGTGAAGAGTTTTGGGGTTGCGGGGCTGGATGGGGTTGCACCCCAGGGTGTAACCCTGATTTATCTGCTTGTCATCCGCAGAGGCTTGGGCGTGGTCCCAGCAGGATGGGGCTCCCAGTTACACCCCCAAAGCCTTGGGGATGGGTCTGTGGAGCCGGACTGGATTGTGGAGCAAGTCTCCCAAGTCTCCAATTTAGGGCCGTGAAGAGTTTTGGGGTTGCGGGGCTGGATGGGGTTGCACCCCAGGGTGTAACCCTGATTTATCTGCTTGTCATCCGCAGAGGCTTGGGCGTGGCGTGGACAGCGGGTGCTCGAGCACCGCCGGCGAAACCAGCTCCTCAGGCAGAAGAAGGAAGAGGAAGAGGCAAAGAAATTGCAGTCTCCTTTTGAAAAAGAGCTGTTAAAGAGGCACCAGAGGCTGGAAAAAAAAAATTTGGTCATCCCTGGGTTATCCTATGAGGCACAGACCACTGCGCCAATGGGTGGGCTGGGGCTCAGCCCCCGGTACAGGATTGATACCCTTCCATAAAACAGGAACCCCAAAACATCCTTCCCTGCTGCCCCGTGCAGCTGCAGCACCCTCATCCTCATAAGTGGGATCCACCCAGCCCGGGACCGCCGCTGCACCCCACTGGCCCCGAGTCTCCTCTGGGTCCCATGTGGCGTCTTTGGGGTGTGCTTTCCAGTTCAAAGCACCCCAAATAGCACGGGGGGTGTTGCAGCACGCGTCACAGGGGTGCTCAGGACCATTTGCACTGCAAATGGATGAAACTAGTTAATTTAATCAATGACCCAACCGCTCCCTTGAGGGAACAGCAAGCAAGCCAAGACCGCCTGAAAATCAAAGCCCTGCACTCTCAGAGAAGAACCAGGAATATGGAACAAGGTGGTTTAGGGACGGAGCCATAAACACCTCGCGTATGAAAGTGAGGCAGTACAGTGACTTACCCCCACCTTAGACGGTGGCTGAACTCTGACAGCTTTTCCCAGGCCTTTGCCAGGAAGGATTCAAACCTCCTTCCTCCTCCATGCCAGCTCTGCAGGGAGCACTCCCCGGCTTTTCTGCTGGAGATGCTCCTCCATGGAGGAAAAATAAAACTATTAATGTTTCAGTTGGCCAGGAAAAGAAATGCGGGGTGAACACGGTGAAATGGTTTGGAAAAAGAGGGCGCGGGCACGTGCACCACACACTCACCCGGCTTTGGGCAGTGGGAAGGGGATGCCCAGCAGTGACGAGGCCCACTGTTGTCATGTGGTCAGTGCACTGGTCCGTCAGCATGCACAGGTAACGGTGACTCTTCTTCCTCACAGCTGGAGAAAGACCAGGAGAAGCAGGAAGACCATGCACCAGAGTTCATCAAAGTCAAGGAGAACCTGAGAAGAACATCGACGGTGACGGGGGATGAGAAAGCAGCGTAGCTTCTGCCAAAACTCAACGGGGACCCTAGCGAGGCCACACCAACACACACGCGCGGACATCTCCGGACAGGGTGGACATTCCCAGCCACGTCGCTGCGGCTACTTACGGCTACTAACACTTGTTCCAGTAGAAGGCACGGAAAAGGTTTTCCCAGCCCAGGAAGGTATCACTGTGGAAGAGGGGTGAAGTACTCGTGCGAGGAGACGCAGAGAGAAACGCTGTTATCCCCCCCTCCAGACGGTGGGTGCAGGCTACCCTCCCGCTAACTCTCCGTCAGCCCTTGCGACACAGCGACCCCGTGAAGGGATGGTTATGGGGACCCCTGCTTCTTCCTGGAGGCAGGCTCGCCAGGCGCAGGGTGACGGCGGGGCAGCTCTGGAGAACCGCCTGGAAACCTGGCGTGGGAACTGCCAGGGACAGTCTGTATTGCCGAGAGCAGCCTGGGGGAGCGGGATGGCTTTCCTAAGGTGCTGCACCAGGAGTCCAGCCTGGCTGAGGCTGTGTCCCAGCAGCACGCCCCTACTACTAGGAACGTCAGCCCCTGCGTGCCCATAGCCGTGCGGCCCAGGCAGGGGCTGTAGTTCTTCACAGGCACCTTCAGACCACACTTCAAACCTCTCTGAAAACAGCTACCGAGGCAGTTCCCCGCTCGGGCACAAAACATTGGGCTACAAGTGGGATGCAAATGCTCCGTGCAGGCAGCAAAGGCTGGGAGGGGGGAGGTTGTTTGGCGTGGGTGTGCATAGCAGCGTGCAGTGACCAGGCAGCAAATCCCTGCGGATGTAGCAGATGGACAAACAGTTTCTTGCCCCCGGACTACTGAGTTTCAGCCCCTCGCCCAGCACTGGGCATGTGCTACCACAGGGACCCACCAAGGTCCTGTGACTGGGAGGTGGCAATGCCGTGCTGGGCTGCTGTCCTGTCACAGCTGGCATCCACAGGCACTGGGGGCTATGGAGCACGGGGACACTGATGCAAAACTATCTGTCATCCCCCTTTTCCATAGGTCAGAGCTGCCCCGTTTCAGTTACCACCTTGCAAAGCTAAAAACCTCCTTGCTGCTCCCGTAGCAAAGCTGAGGCAGATGGTGGGTTTGCCCCACATATGGATGGAGACCCCCACGTTTACGCGACATCCCTGTCCAGAGGTGTCCACATCCAGAGCTAAAATTGCCCCTTCAGGAAGATCTCAGCTGCATCAGCCCTGATGCACAGCCTAAACAGCCTAACTCACCGACTGCCGTTCGACACTGGCTCTTGAGCAGCAAGCCTCAAGGGACCTCGTCAGCAGGGAAGGCAATACCTGCCCAAACACTATCTACTGTCCACATCTTCAGTGGATCCAAACATAAAGTAAGGGAAACGGGGCATTTATCACATTTATTAAAAAGCTACTAATCCCTTCCCTAGTCTCCCTGGTCCAGCGGGATGTTTCATTTCAGGGGACTCTCGCTCGACCGGGCATCTGAGCCGCACCACGCGTCAAGAGCAGCGATACAGGTACGGGCTTTTGCCACAGCCTCGGACTATAAAAGCCCTTAAGCTCAGTTTCAGCCCTGGAGAGCCCCGTCTGGCAGCACCATCCGCAGCAGTCTTTAGCGCCTCGCTCATTGTGCTTATTCTAAACAAGTTTTCACTTCAAAAATCCAGTGTTTACAGTCACTATGGGTCAAACAAGGTCTGAAAGGATCTGTTACGTCCTTTCCGACTGGGAAGCTTTCTGTCTAGGTTATGATTAAAACCACGAGGAAGAAGCAGCACCCTTTTTCAGAGGGGAAAAACATACACAAGGGAAAAAAAGGTGTTGCTAAGGATGCTTGTAGACAGCTGTGAAGAATGCTGTGTGATGCTCCATGGAGAACATGGCTTTAAATAACAAGCCAGAATTACTGTGCTGGGTTATGGCACGGATTAAGTAACCTTGATCAAAGAGCTCAAAAAAATTCATCAGATCAATTTGTAATTTTGCCACAGATGGAAAGGCGCTGCAGGAGAGGCAAGCTGTCGCGCCATATGCACTGGCGAAATCAGAGTTATCCACTCACCCGGGCTGGGATGGGGCACTTACACATGTCCTCGGGGCTGGGTAAGCTCAGCTCAGCAATGAAAAGGTCACAAATATTTTGCTGTGGTCTTCTTGAGGATGAAAATATTATCTGGGGGGAAAAAAAAAATCATCACGGTGTCTCCCGCTGATGCAGTGTCCACCAAGCACAGCTGGGGGCTGCTAAAGGGTGTCTGGCTCATTTTCAGTGGGTGTCCAAAAGGGAAACACAGGGCTGGGTCTCACGGTCCCAACGCAGGCTGAGCTAACGGACCCACCAAACCGGCCCCAAACAGCCGGCGCTGGCAGCTCCCGTGGGGCCGAGATGGGCTGCAGCATCCCCCTGGTACACCTTGGGGCACACGGCACCGCACCCCTGGGAAAGAGCTGCAGGCTCCAGCCCTCCCATCCCATGGGGTAAATGATGCTTCTACTGTTCCAGCCTTGGCTTACAAAATCACAGCGTGCCCCACCACAGCTCTCCGCACCCTGCGAGCCGGTATCCCGCCCAGAGCCTGCATCTTTGTGTCTCCTTTTCAATGAATTCCTGCCCCTAAAACCCATCCCTGACCAAACGCGGTGTCTCCAGAAGACACAGGTATCGGGGTACTGGCGGAAGACAATTTTTGCGCTGTGTATGCTGCCTGTGGTACACAGTTTATATCCTGTGTTGGTGTTTGTACATTTATGTAAACTTACGTCACGCAGCTCTACTTAATAAACTCACGCTGGTTAATGTGGACACTTCGAAGAAATAAATGGAATGGTGATTGTATATTTTGCTCTTTTCCACAAGGAACTGGAAAAGCTCCAAGGATACAGGCAGACAACAGCCAAACGAACTGCTTGAGCACAAAAATCAGTGACGCTTGATGGCAGCTCCCTTGTCAGAGCTGTGTTAACTCACTCATCGACGAGCTGCTTCCGTCATCCGCACCCAGTGCCGCATCCACTGCTTATCCCTAGACTTCATCACCATTTGTGGAAAGTTTAAGGGCACAGGGATTGAGAAATCAGGCTTTGTGCGCTGAAACTTGCCATGTGTTTGGGTTCTAACAGACGCCTACCTGCCTGGCAGGGTAAGACCCACAAATCCAAGGAAACACGTAGCCCTTGGATTTAATTTAAAACCTCAGTTTTGAGCTGAAAGGTAACCCTCTCCCTAGGGAGCTCAATCCCTTATTTTTAAACACTTTAAAAGTGGTTTAGCAGGAAGCAAAGACCACAGATTAAATAGGTAAGAACAAGAGAAGGTGCTTCCCACGTGTGGGTCAGGCACCCCACGCTCCCCAAGGACTAAAGCTGAGTGCAGCAAAGCCAACGAGAAGGAGCTCTCTGTCTCGTTAGCGATATCCTTAACGGCAGAGACACCCCCTTCCCACTCAGAACAAGGCAGAGAGGGTGCCTGGATGTGTTTTTCCGACAGCAGGTCTCTGCTGGGGTTGTCACACCAGGAGGTACCCGTCGCTCCGACCCCCGCAGCCCCCTCGCCCCTTCAGGGATGAGGGCTCAGTGACTAAACCTGTTCTTCGGGTCGGGTTCCCCAAACATCTTCCCACCTTGTAGCTGCTTATAACAACAGCTCCCTCGTTAGCTGCCGGGGGTCCGTGCTTCGTCCTGGCACACACCACGCCGAGGGCAACGTCTGCGCTGACAGCGTGGCCGTGGGTGACACACAGACCAGGGGGCACAGGCAGGACCACGCGCCTCCTTTCAGGCACGGGTGTCACATCGTGACAGCTCCTCTTCTAGGGAAGAGAGTAAGAAACAATCGTTTCTGTTCTTTAAAGACAAACTGCTCCGGTGTCTGGATTTTTCTTACTGCCGGAGTCTTCAACACCAGCATCACAACTTCTCCAGGTCATGCCGAGATGCCTTTTCCTATGGACTCACTCCTGAAGTGCCCCTGGAGAGTTTGCTGCAGTGGAATTTCCCATCAGGGAACCCTTGTATTTTACAGCCTAATTTCTTTCTCGTTACTACCTCCAAAATGGCAAATTCTGGTTTTCCCTTCCAAGCCAGCGGTATCCTCAGACCAGCCCTGGCTGAGCACCCCTTCTCAGGAACTCTGCCTATCCCAGGTGTTTCTCTGTATTTAGATCATTTCCCAGAATTTCCTGGGAACTCCAGCCTTATGGAAACGGGGAATAATGCAAAATTATCAGCAACATAACAACTGTGGTGTGTTCCAACACACCCCGGCCGGGTGCACTGCGGGTTCTGCTGGTCCCCACCACAGACCGTGCGCTCTCCGGGAACCCCCCCAGGCACGCGGAGCCGAGGTGGGAGAATGCTGCCGGGTCTGCAGCTCCGGTGGCATTCCACCTCCGGCTTCCCTCTTGCAGGCTGGCAACGACCTACCCGAGCAGCACCTGAGCCTGGCCAAACAGGGCCCTGCACGAACATCAGGCTGCAGGCAGGCTCGGCAACAGCTTTGTCCAACCTCCCATCCCTCCCTCGTCCCTCGGGAGACCCGGCCCTGCTAGCTGAACCACCGACTGCACTCGGGAAGCACAAGGCTGAGCGCTTGTGCCTCCAGCAGAAGAAAAGCAGCAGAGCAAATAGCAAAACCCATGGATAATCTAAGGAAGAGGGTACTGCCGGCCAAGCACTGGCAACCCCGAGCACCGCAGGAGGCGATGCCACCCGGACTGGGACACCACGCACCACGTCCAGCGGACACCACGCTGCTCTGGCAGGGTGACAGAGCCTCGCGGCATCTTTAACGTTCCAGCCTCAGCCCTAAGGCAACACCCGCCGCCCGTGAGCACACCCATTGCGTTAGTGAGCTGTTCTGATTTACTGCTGCTCCCCGTGGCTGCTGGGCTCGGGTCACTCAGGCTCAAACTTCAAATTATAGTTATGCAAAATGACACCTGATTTCCCACCCTGTGTTTAACTTCCCACGTTAAAGCAGCTCTACGGTACGGTGAATCCCACCTGCTTCGCTTCCTTC